GCATTGTAAAGAGTCAGACATGACTGAAGCAAATTAGCATGCATGTAGAATTAACCATTTTTAAAAAAATATTTAATTGAAGGGTAATTTCTTTACAGAATTTTGTTGCTTTCTATCAAACCTCAGCATGAATCAGCCATAGGTATACATATACCACCTCCCTTTAAAACTCCCTCCCATCTCCCTCCCCATCCCACCCCTCTAGGTTGAAACAGAGTCCCTGCTTGAGTTTCCTTAATTGGAGCATAATAGTTTCACAACGCTATGTTAGTTTCCATTGTACAGCAGCATGAGATAGCCATATGTGTACACATATCCCCTCCCTCTTGAGCCTCCCTACCCCACCGCCATCCCGCCCCTCTAGGTCATCACAAGGACCGAGCTGGGTTCCCAGTGCTATATAGCAGGTTCCCGCCAGCTGTCTATTTTACACACGCTGGGGTATAGATGTCAGTGCTGCTCTCTCAGTTCCTCCCAAACTCGCCTTCCCTTCCTGTGTCCATGTGTCCATTCTCTACGTCTGCATCTCCATTCCTGCCCTGCAAACCAGTTCATCTGTACCATTTCCTATGTTTCTTTGTTTTCATCCTATAACTTAGAAAGAGGCATTGATTTGGAAATTGTGTGTTAACTTCTATATATGCTATCTCCTTTCCCAGGAAGACTGCTCCCTGGATGATGAACTCAGTCTGTCCGCTTCCTGCTGAGTTCTGAGAATTAGGCTGTCATTGGATTTAATAATCAGAACTTACTGAATTCAGGGCAAAGCATGGACAGGAGGAATCTTACACAACACACATTCTTTATGATGCATGTATAGGTAAAAGCTGACAGAACGTGATATGAAATTTATTATCTAGTCCATTACTGTCAGATAAAAGAGACCTCAATACTTTCTTCAGGGCAATGAAACTTTTCCAGATTTGGTGCAAACACCTTCAGAAGAAAAGGTCTGGAGTTTACTGCCATGGATGCTGGCTTTGGGTTCCAACCTGGTTATTAGCTAACAGTCACCAGTTATTAGAATACGGTGGATAGATAGAAAACTTCATTCCTATTGCATTGACAATAAACAATTTGATCTAGGGTTGTGTCCACGGACCAAGTGATAGGCCCACAAAGGAATTAATTGTCCATCATTTAAAAACAAACAGGAATGATGAAATGAAAACAAACAGCAGGAACAATAAAAAAAAAGGTGTACAGTGAGGATACACAGTGGACCTTTCTCTGTGGGACTTGTCCTCTCAGAGTAGTAGTGTCTGACTCTTTGTAATCCCATGGACTGTAGCTCACCAGGCTCCTCTGTCCATGGGATTATCCAGGCAAGAATACTGGAGTGAATTGCCATTCTCTTCTCCAGAGGATCTTCCTGACCCAGGGATTGAACCCAGGTCTCCTGCATTGCAGGCAGATTCTTTACCATTTGAGCTACGGGGTAGACATGTCCTCTCTAATAGTTGCAGAGAGTTCTGTCTTGTCCACATCTGCCTGCAAACATCCAAGTTTCCACAAGGATTAAGAAAGTCCTGGAGGATGTCACTTCATTTCCTTTTCACATCTCTCTTCCTCTCCACCTGGAGAGAGTTTCAAGTTCTCAGTGACAAGCATCATCTCAAAAAGAAAAAAAAAGAAAGAAAGCTTCAAAAACTGAGGATTCTATCAGGAAAACTTGGGATAAAGTATAGATCTCACTTCCTCTATTCCTACTGAATGTTTATTTCTCCTTTGCCTGGGCTGTGTGCACCTCAAATGCTTTCCCAGACATTCTGTGGAAAAATGGGGATCCTTTTCTAAGGCAAATGGGGCTCCCTTGGAATCTATGCTGAAATGTACAACCGGGTGACTCTTTAGAGGAGTCCTACTATGTGTAACCTTGCTTCCAGGTGGGGACTCCCTGCGAACGACATGCATGTCTACCTTCTGTCTTTGTACATTCCTGTTTGTCTAACTGAATCTTGGCAGCTGTCTGTCCCTGTGGCCACAGGTCTTGTGACAAACAGTCACAGAGTCAGGGTGCTAGGTGACTTCTACCTGCTCCTGTGATCCCAAACATTCTGGAACCTTCCTCCTTGTCTGTCCACTGGGCCGTGTGACCAGGATCCCTTCTACTGAAGCAATATGCCCAAGAGTGTGACTAATGACGCTTGGACATGACTCAGGATTTTCGACTTTACAGGTCCTTTGGTCCTTCTTATCACCAGGAAATGCCCCTGTTACACATGGTAGCCAAAATGTGCCCATCAAGAAACAAAATCCCCATGAAACACCCGGACTTATTCATTCACCAGCTCCAGCAGTGGGGACTCAGCCACACCAAAGTGTGAAGACCAAGACATTGTGGAAGTAACTCATCAGTGCATGAAGACTGCTTATAAAATCAAGAAGAGATGATGAAGTGGGAAGGAGAACAAGTTAGAGAGTGTGGGGCTGAGACACTGGAAGGAGAGCAACATCCTATAGAAATCTACAGATTCCTACAAGGACTCAGGCTCCATTCTGGTCAGAGCAGCAGGTTAACTCAGGTGATTCAGGATTTCTCAGCCTCTCCATGATGGACACGACTGGATAATTCTCTGTGAGGTGCTTTTCTGCACATTGTAGGCTGTTAGGCAGGCTGATTCATTGCCGATGCCCACATGGAATGTGTAACAACTCCATCTCTGAGACCTTGTAGGCCATAAGTAGAGAATCCATGCACTGCAACTAAAGACTCTTACATTGCATGATGGAAGAGAGGTACTATGTGCCACAAGTAAGAGATGGCAAAGCAAAGCAAATGAATGAATGAATGAATGTTAAAAAGAACCTCTCTTGGAATACAAGCTATATACGTCATCATTTTCTTAAAAAAAAATAAAATAGTGGGCTTATGACTTATTATCCAAACTTAGATTCAAAATACACTGAAACTTTGCTCAGGAATCCTTGAGGGAACTGGGTGTTTTTGGTGGTCAAGGTCGAAAGATTCACTCCATTGCTTAAGACCGGAGTCATGCAATCAAAAATATAAAAATAATGATCACGGAGAAAATAGAAAAGTAAGACATATTTAATGATCTGGGAGAAAGAGCCTCCATAGTGACAGAAACCTGGATAAATCTGAGGAAATACCAGGAAGATATTCCAGCACAGCTTAGCATTATTTTGGAGCAGTTACAAGAGTAAAGTTTGTTCAGGAGTGTTCCATTTTTATTTATTATTCTATTATCCACATTTTGATCAACATTGATGACAGAGAGCTGGGATTAAAAGTCCCATGACTTCCTTCAGTTACAAAATAATAGAACTGTCACAACCTGTTACTCTTGGAGTAGCTCTGTTTAATGTCCCCTTGATTAGCAGTTAGAAAGGTCTTCCTAAAACAGGATAGTCCTAGGACACATTCCCAGGGGCCACATGTTGGTAAGAATTCAAAAGGTAAATCTGGAGATGTTGGAAATGCCTAAGGAGAGACAGAAGGGTGATGGTGGGTGGATAAGAGTTGTTAGCTGCATCACATCCCTACTTGAAAATATGTGTATCAGGCTGACCCTGTCATTCCAATGGTTAAGACTGCACTTCCACTGCAGGGAGCATGGTTTGGGGAACTAAGATCCTGCAGCAGCTCATGGTGGGACAAAACAACTAACCAAATGGTTATCTGAATTAGAGACTTCAGAGAGAAAAAAGTTCAGGATGTTTTAAGATATGAAAACCTATTGCACAGATTTTACAGCAGAAGTTAAGAAAGGACAGCATACAAAGAAGGAGTGTGTGAATGAAAAAGAAAATATGATATTGAAACAAAAGTGAAAAGAAAAAAGTAGGTAACATTGTTGGTCCTTCTAAGCATGAAGGGAAGGGGCCAACTGAAGATGTGAGCTGAAGACACCCTTGAGCCAAGCTCTCCTCAAACGTCTGACTTCAATATAAAACAAGGATTCTAAGTTCTGATCCATACCGGGAGCAGCCAGTACTGGTCAGGACTCCAGCTGTTCTCGCTCAACTGACTCAAGAATCCTGAATCTCTGTTTCCTCATTTCTATACTCTGATCAAGGTAAATCTGGAGGGTATCTATTTGATAAGTTATCAAGACTGAAGATGAACTTAAGTAAAATTAGATTAAAAAACACAAAGAACAGATTCTTTGCCATTCTGATCATGGATATAAGTATGTGAATAAAGTTAGAAAAATTGTTTTTTCCTTCAAAATTCTAAAAAAAAAAGAACAAGAACTATTGTGCTGCTTTCTCGCCTGCCTGAGAAACAACTGAGTTAGTGAGTAGATAATATGCTACAGATTTGATGGGTAAACAGGTGTATGGAAAATGAGTGACAGAATTGGACTGTGGGCATGCCTTCTTCAGACAAGGTTAAGGGGCATTTGAACGGATCTGTGTCTTAGTTACAAGGAGGACAGATCCCACTGAGGGTCAGGAGGAGATGGTGAACACTTAGTTCTGATGTGAGCATCACCTCAGGGAAATAAGAGATTCTCCAAAGGTCTCTGAGGAAATCATTTTACCCTGGCTAATCCACACAGTCAATCTTTACTTATAGAAAACAAAAAAAAAAAAACCAAAAAAAAAAACAAAAAAAGCCCTGTAAACTATCTCCTAAATATTAAGGAAACAATACAGGAGTGGGGGATAGGTATCTTGGACAGCGTATCCCAGTTTGGTCTCAGAGTATAAAGGAAAATAAATACTCCTGACCTGGAAATATTACATGTGTTTTGTGATTTCTCATTCATTCTAAAGGGCAGATGTCCAGATTGCCTCAAGCTTCCTCTAAAACCATCCTCATGATAAAAGTGAGAAAATGACATGAAAAATGATTCCTGCCAAGCAGGATACTGAAGATGACATCTGTGTCACCTTGGTCTTAGGAGGAACAGCCATTGGTTCACGATGTATCACACCAACACAATGATCATATAAAAGGGGCAAGTCACAACCTCTCCAGCTACTGGGACAACCTCAGTTTTGACCAAAGAAAGACTACAGGAGCGTCAAAAATGAAGGTTGTGTTCCTGAGTTTACTACTTGTGGTTTGTGCTGCCCAAGAAGAGGAAGCTCAGCCAAGTCTCTCAGAGGTACCAGGGATGGTCTGACCTGGAAGGAGGTCTTGGGTGTGTGTGTGTGTGTGTGTGTGTGTGTGTGATCCTTTTGTGGTTTTGTTATGTGGATGCATGAGCTGAGCCATCTCCCTCCAACTCAACACTGCTCCATTTACTGGCTCTACACCTGTTCTGTGTGGTCTCTATATCATCTTTACTGTGTATTAGTTGCTTCTTTTGCATTTTTCCACTCTTGTAACATAGAAAGAGGATCCATCAAACAGCTGTTGGAGTTCTTGCATTTGACATCTGAGCTCAAGCTATCTCGAAAAGTCTCAATTCCTTATTTTACTCTGACTTCAGTTTTGCATTATTGTCAATTTTGATAATGTCTCTGATTTGCACAAGTGATGGGAAACTAATGACCGATGCAAAGTGAAGTCATTCCATCTTGTCCAACTCTTTGCAACCCCAAGGACTGTAGCCTACCAGGCTCTTCCATCCATGGGATATTCCAGGCAAGATTACTGGAGTGGGTTTCCATTTCCTGCTCCAGGAGATCTTCCCAGCCCAGGGAATGAATCCGGGTCTCCCGCATTGTAGGCAGACGATTTGCCACCAGGGGAGATTGTGACCAATGGTGCTGGGTAAAATAAAAATTCAAGGACTACCGTTTTGAAGGGGAATTTTGCTGTTAGCTTTCAGGACAATGGAGAACTGCATACCTTGCATCCAGTAACCTGGAGAAGATCAACCCCAATGGGCCATTCCAGGCTTACCTCAAGAAATTTCTGTTTGATGATGAACACGGCACAGCAGACTGCTACTTTTATGGCAGGTAAGTAAAAATCACCCAGAGGGAAAATACAGGTAAACCTCGAGCCTCAGAGAGGGTGTGTCTTCCCCATCTTAAGAGAACTCTCTAGATGATGTTGAGGGCATGATGCCCTGAGATGTGGGGCTGAGCAGGGTCTCTGAGGTGGGGCAACAGTTCTCCTGTGAGCCTCCAGGGAATGTTCTGGAGCCCAAAGAGGGCCCCAGAATCCCTGCTAGCATCAATTCATTATAGCAATGAGGGACACAGATATAATTTCCTTCTGTGAAATAAGCATATAATGTTACCTGTCTGTTTCCTTGTGTGTGTTTGTGTATGTCTCAATGATCATGTCTTTCAGGGTTTAATCCTCTTAATGACACTGTGATGGAAGAAGGGTATGGGTTTTGATAAAATTAAATGTTTCTTTTCCTAAGTTGATGATTTCTTTTCCTATCATACTACTTAATGAATCATTGCCAGGGTTGTGAGTACCTCCAAGATGTGTCATGATGGCCAAAACTCACTGTCTGCATGAAGTATTTTTTTTTTTAAACAGGTATATTTTATTTTCCTAAAATTCCAGATTCTCTCATATTTGACTTGAACATGATTTACTTTGTATTTGCAGTTTATCTTTGGCACTACAGCTCTGATTTAATAGACAAGCCTCCTTATCACTCGACAGTGACTTAGCCTTAAAGACCATGTTTCTTCTCTTTTCAAGGTCACATTGTTACAGGCACTAACCTTGCAAGCCACAGTTAATTTCTGGGGAGAAGCAAAATCCTAATTTTATATCAAAATTTTCATGACTTTAATCAACCTGCTTGAATGTGTTTTGTTTTTAAGACACATGGGAAAATGGGAACATAAACACGTCACAGCAATAAAGCAAGATGATGGTACTTATGCTGCTGACTGTAAGTATGAGTGCTTCACTGGTCAGAGTATGCTTGGGTGGGAATCTTGGCACAACTTCCTTCTGAAATCCCACACAGCTGAATTCTACTGTTATGAACAATCAGAGGGGTGAGCAGCCTCTAGTTCCTAAAATCTCCAATCAGTTTATTTTGTCATGAAACAAGGGTTCAAACACACGGCTTGGAGGTCTCCACCCAGTTGTGAGTGTTACCCAATTATATAGCATATGGAGAAGTGTATTTTATATGGTTCTCACAGATAATTGACAACAACCTTATGAACTGACATTGCAAGAGATGAAATTTTGCACATCAGTATCATTCACTTAAAAAAATATATTAAAATATCTCAATCCATTCAAGGCTCGGTGGATGAACTTAAATCCAAATAAGTCATCCTGAGTTCAACTACAAAGTCAGTTTCTGTTGAAAGCCATGAGGATGATGGCTAATATTATATCTCTAGGTTCTTAAATAACAGGCCCAACATAGATTCTTAATATTACATGGCCTATGTGGCACATATTTCAATACAATTTAAGTGTATCCAATCAAGTATATGAAAATTTGGGAATGGAAAAGTCTTGCCTGCTTCACTTGCTGTCATAACAACCATAGCATTCAGACCACCCATGGGGTGAGACATCGATCAATATAGCATGTACTGTTGCTGCTACACTCAAAATGTCACAGTATATCCAACTGACAATAAATTAAGGCAAGGTTGTATATATGTATCTTTTCTCTCTCACACAGATGAGGGTAAAAATGTATTTGAAGTTGCTTATGCATCCAAAAACTTTCTGGTAATACATAACATCAATGTGGATGAACATGGCAAGAAGACAGTATTGACTGGACTATTTGGTTCGTATGACATCCTCCTAATCACAAGGACAAGATCATGTAGCATTTCCATCCTGTTTTCATCGATAAAATCATTGTATGGTGACAATATCCATTGCTCAGTCTACAGGACCTAGGTCTTTTTGTTCACGGAATTAAGGACTCTGGAAAGTAATCTGTCATAAAGAGGAGTTCGTATGGGTAGAGGGGGTCAGCTCATCAGAAATTTCAAAATATTTCCACCTGTGGTAATTTAAAGATAAGCTGAGTTTTACTAAATATACTTAATTTTTCTTTAAATTTTAGTGGGAGGAAAATTAAAATGTTGCATTGGATCTAGTTTTCTTTCTTTCTTTCTTTCTTTCTTTTTTTTTTTTCACCAACTCGGTTTATTTCAAGCCAGAGCTATAGTAAGGCTACTCACAATGTCTTCAATTGATACCAGTTTCACAGTAAACTCAAAGTCTTGCAACAGAAATTTGTATAATAAGTATTCATCCTGTTCAATTTTTCAAATAATCATTTTTAGGAACATTGACATCATCCCAAACAACCATATAAAAGCACTGAATGGTGTCATTAGCATTGGAACGGCATGGGTCTATTACAGAAAATTTACTAGTGAGAACAGTGGGCCAATTTAACAACAACAACAACATCTTCTCCCATTATTATGTCTGATGTAGTGAACATCTCTCTCTCAGGGGAGAACCGTGTTTCCTATTTATTTGGGATCAGAACAAGACAGGAGTCGCAGGTACATACACTAGGAATTTGATAAAGAGGGAAGGAGGTTCCATACTGTGACAGATGGAACCCAAGAGCCATGGAGCTCCTGTGGGTCTTTGGCTCCTGCTGCCTATGCTGCTGGGGTTTAGTTACAGAGTTGGACGGGGGATAATTCTGAAGACAGACAGAAGACAAATGTGTCATGGAAAATGGAAACTGTTTGAGGCTTCATGTTAACAAGTGAAGATCTGACTTGCACACTCAACTTATTGTTTTGTATTCAGAAATTTCTCTGGGATCTAAGACGTAAAAATTCTGTTTTCTGCATGGTACTTTTCAGTTAGACCAAATATTGAAGAGGAAGGCTTGCAGAAGTTCAAGGAGCTGACAGAAGAGAAAGGGATTGATGAGAAAAATATCGTGAATTTCATCGAAAGTGGTAATGGAATTATACTTTTCCCTAAATGTATCATTCACTCAATAGGTAAATATATGATTAGGAAACAAATAAATTTACTTAAAATTTCTTTCTCTATAAATAATCTTTTATACAATCTCTTACTTAAGAAAAAAGAAGAAGCCCTGGAAATTCTGGGGAATGCTAGTAATCTTATGCAATTTTGTTTTCTGTCCTTTTCACCTTCCCCAGATGACTAGCTTCCCTGAGGACAGCTACATATTTCAAAACACGCTCAGTGTAAGTGAAAAATGTCTGTTACTACTACTGTTCCCATTAAAGAAATCAAAAGGAAACATGGTGATTTCGTACCTGCCAAATTTTGTAGGTAATGGTTTTTTGTCCCAACAGCTAGCATTCTATAAGTAGAGAACTTGGTTACATTAGGTTATCTCTCTTCTCCTGAGTCATATTAAATTGCAAGTTTGTTGGTTGATTAGTCCTGAACATCTTTGGTGAGAGAGCCTTATCCTGCAGGAATAGTGCATACAAAAGTCATCAGAGAGAAGCCCAAATGGCCACAGGCTGGTAGAAACCAATTAATCAATTCTGACTTCATGGTTGTCCACACACATTCCTCCTCTAGGAGATCTGGATTAAACAGAGCTCACAGCTCCTGCAACACCAGTGTTTCATCTCACATGGTTTTGATAGAACCAGTAAAGGCCTTGCAACCACACTGAAACATGCCTTTGAATTATATTCTCCCTCAGAAAAAGACTTTAAGTGGAATCTGTAAACTTTCTAATTTAAGCCTCAGAGAGATTTGGAAATGACACTGATCTAGACTAACATGTGGCTTATAAATTTCTGTAGAGGAAAAAAAAGATAAAAAGCAAAGGAAAATTTTAGCTTCCAGGTGAACATGATATGAAAGATGTGTTGCATATATTCAGTAGACTGTTGTTCAGTCATAAAAGAAGGAAATCATGTCGTTTGCAGAAACATGGATGCACCTAGAGATTATCATACTAAGTGAGGTGAGTCAGAATGAGAAAGAGAAAGATCACATGGTATTATTTGTAGGCGGGATCTAAAGTATAAATTAAAGACGTTATTTACAAAACAGATTCACAGACATAGAGAACACACTTGTGTTCACCAAGGAGCAGGACACTGGGTAAGAAGAGGACTGGAAATGTGGGTGTAGCAGATGTAAGCTACTATACACAAGATGGATACACTAGAAAGTCATACTATACACCAGAGGGAGCTAAACACAATAGTCTTTAAAAAACTTAAATGGGAAAAGAAGTTGAAAAAGAATAGATATTAACATATGTATGTATCAATTATTCACCTTGCAGTAGTGCTGCACTAATACAATTCTGTTAATCAACTATACTCTAATATAAAATAAAAATTTAAACGTTGATTCTTGAAGACCCCAAAGACAAAGCCATGGAATTAAGGGAGCTTGCCCCAATCACAGATCGAGGAAACCATCTTGAGATGAACCTTTGCCATGAACTTGAATTCAGAAACCATTCCCCCTAGAATCAATGTCAAATGGGAAAGGCCGCCCCTTATGCATCTCCTGGGTAAAATTCCAAAGGGACCCCTGCCCACATCACAGAGATGTGGATTAGTGAGGTCCACCAGGATTCTGACATTGGACCATCTACCAGCTCCTGTACCCTGGACAGCCTACTGCCTGAGCCTCATCCCTGGTGGCTGTCAAAAAGTCAACTCTACTAATAATTTGTTTTTGTTTTATTCACCTACAGAAAAGGTCACTGAGACCAGACACGTCCTTGTCTCCATGGAATCAAGACCAACAACCAGAAGATGACTCTCCTGGTTCCTGATTAACATGATCCTTCTTTCTCCACACCCACACTCTCTTTTGTGTCTCATCTCTCCTGGTCACTAATCATGTCCTGTCTGGTGGCATTTGATTTCTGAAGGTTTCAATAAATTAGTTTAATTCACAATGGAGTTACTTGGGTCTGTCCTTAAAGTCTGTATTTTAAAACACACAAATACACATGTTAAATTTACCCATCCAGAAACATATGCCTTTTAAGGGATAGGTGTTCCATCGGAGACAATTCTGAGGATGGGTAAACAGAGATATTGAAGGGAGAAGGAGAAAGAAAGACTAAACCATCATGGGACATGGGGCAAAGTTATGGATCTTCTTACTGCAGTGGGAGGAGGCAATCTGTTCCAGAAAGATGTCCCTAGAAAGCATCATATTCATCACAGGGAAAGGATCTTGTGTTCCACTCTCTGAGCTTCATAGACAGAAAGTGGAAGGTGCCATGGGACACAACTGAGGAAACATGCATATTCTGACCACACCAGCACTTCTGCAATTGAGCTGAAGGGCTGATATTTGGTAACAATCCCTGACTAGGAATCAAATGTGTGCAGTACCTGAGTCTCGGTCAATGCATAGCAAGAGGAATTCAGGGCAGTGTCTGCAGGAATGAGAAAGTGACAGCTCAGTCAGGAAGTTGGAATTATTCACAACATCTAAAGATGATCTTCCAACCTCTTAGGCTTAGAAGAGCAGGAGACGCTAATACCTGGAAGGACTGGACATTCCCACTGTCATGGGCAGGGAACACTGATCACCTCCCCACAATGGTCAAGCTCTTTACAACATAGATCTAGCAGACACTCAAGATGGACAACTTATTCCAAGCATTGGGCCAAAGCTCACAGATTTGGTCCAAGAGCTTGGATGATAGTACTACACTAAGAATACTTGAGAGAATAAATGTTTCAGTTTCTACATAGACATGACCTCCAAATTGGCTACAGCTGGCAGAGTCAAAGCAGCAGTAATGAATGTTTCTATGACTTAGTTGGTAGTAATGGAGGTCGAGGACAAGGTTTATGTTCTTGCACTTCTTTAGAGGAGTGTATGCACTTGGATCTCTGACTCCAGTCTTCACACCACCTCTGGAAATGTTGGATTGGATGAGTGGAGTTACACAGGCAACTGAACACCGAGAAACAGAGTGAATCTCTTAAAAGGATATTGAAGGCCAAGACGTGATATAAACAGCTAAAAAAAATTGTATAACTATCATATATATGCATGAGTTTCCCTGAGAGTTCAGTTGGTAAAGAATCTACCTGCAATGTACGGGACCCTGGTTCAATCCCTGGGTTGGAAACATCCACTGGAGAAAGGATAGGCTACCCACTCCAGTATTCTGTGCTTTCCTTGTGGCTCTGCTGGTAAAGAATTTGCCTGAAATGCAGGACACCTGGCTTGTGAAGATATCTTAGAGAAGGGAAACTCTATCCACTCCAGTATTCTGTCCTGGAGAATTCCATGGACTGTACAGTCCAGTTCAGTTCAGTCACTCAGTCGTGTCTGACCCATTGCAACCCCATGAACCATGGCATGCCAGGCATCCCAAGCCATCACCAACTCCCAGAGTTTACCCAAACTCATTTCCATTGAGTCAGTGATGCCATCCAACCATCTAATCCTCTGGCGTCCCCTTCTCCTCCTGCCCTCAATCTTTCCCAGCATCAGGGTCTTTTCCAATGAGTCAGTTCTTTGCCTTAGATGGCTAAAGTATTGGAGTTTTAGCTTCATCATCGGTCCTTCCAATGAGCACCCAGGACTGATCTCCTTTTGGATGGACTGGTTGGATCTCCTTGCAGTCCAAGGGACTCTCAAGAGTCTTCTCCAACACCACAGTTCAAAAGCATCAATTCTTCAATGCTCAGCTTTCTTTATAGTCCAACTCTTACATCCATACAAGACTACTGTAACAACAATAGCCTTGACCAGACAGACTTTGTAGGCAAAGTAATGTCTCTGGTTTTTAATATGCTGCCTACATAGGTCATAACTTTTCTTCCAAGGAGCAAGTGTCTTTTAATTTCATGACTGCAGTCACCATCTGCAGTGATTTTGGAGCCCAAAAAGGTAAAATCCACCAGTGTTTCCACTGTTTCCTCATCTATTTGCTATGAAGAGATTGGACCAGATGCCATGATCTTAGTTTTCTGAATGTTGAGCTTTAAGCCAACTTTTTCAACGCTCCTCTTTCACTTTCATCAACAGGCTCTTTAGCACTTTCTGCCATAATGGTGGTGTCACCTGCATATCTGAGGTTATAGACATTTCAATAGGCAGTCTTGATTCCAGCTTGTGCTTCATCCAGCCCAGCGTTTCTCATGATGTACTCCGCATATAAGTTAAATAAACAGGGTGACAATATACCTTGATGTATTGTCAACTACATTGTATACCTTGACAAGTACACCTTGATGTACTCCTTTTCCTATTTGGAACCAGTCTGTTGTTCCATATCCAATTCTAAGTGTTCCTTCCTGACCTACATACAGGTTTCTCAAGAGCCAGGTCAGGGGGTCTGGTATTCCAATCTTTTTCAGAATTTTCCGCAGTTTATTGTGATCCACACAGTCAAAGGCTTTGGCATAGTCAATAAAGAGAAATAGATGTTTTTCTGGTCCTCTCTTGCTTTTCTGGTGATCCAGCGGATGTATGGTCCATGGGGTCACAAGAGTCAGACACGACTGAGTGAATTTCACTCATAGATATACATACATACACTTGAATGTGCACATCTTTTCATAAATGTATTTATTATAAGTGAATTATCACCAAAAATTACACAAATAACATGACAAAATAATAAACAGGCTAGTGTTATTGAAATGAGCACTTCTGTAGAAATGGACACATTACTTGAAAGGTGTGTCATGAGAATTAATGTATGATAAAGCAGAAAAATTCTACTGTCCTTTATCTGTCAAAGACATTGACTGCTCCATAGGGTTCCCATTCAAGAAGATTTAATTCATACCCAAGAAGTAAACAAGAAATATCACTAAACTTGGAGAAAGTAATCTACTGACACATGATCATGTGATTCACATCAAACTATTTTTCATTCCTGAAAATTGTATGAAAGTGAAAGTCCCTCAGTGGTGCCTAACTATGTGCGACTCCATGACTATACAGTCCATGGAATTCTCCAGGACAGAATACTGGAGTGGGTAGCCTTTCCTGCTCCAGCAGATCTTTCCAATCCAGGGATCGAACTCATGTCTCCCACATTGTAAGAAGATTCTTTACCAGCTGAGCCACAAGGGAAGCCCAAGAATACTGGCATGGATAAGCCTATCCCTTCTCCAGTGGATCTTCCCAACCCAGGAATCAAACCAGGGTCTCCAGCATTGCAGGCGGATTCTTTACCAACTGAGCTGTCATTTGCTTTCCAATGCCCTAGGCAGGATTAGATACTTCCAACAGATTTGGTTAAAATCTATATGCCTGAAGAAAACCATAATTCAAAATGTACATGTACCATAATGTGCAACAACACTCTTTACAAAAGCCAGGACATACGAGGAATTTAAATGTCCACCAACACAGGAATGGAATATATGTGATTGGTGTTATGGTCTACTGACTCAGTTGTGTCCAACTCATTGTGACCCCATGCACTGGAAGAGCCCACCAGGCTTCTCTCTTCATGGAATTCCTCAGGTGAGAATACTCGATAGAGAAAATGAAATACTACTCAGCCTATTCCAGTGATGTGGAAGGACCTAGACAGTGCCATACAGAGCGAAGTAAGTCAGAGACAGAAAAGCAACTATCTCATATTAACAAACATATTGTATGTGGAATAGACTCAAGCGGTACAGATGACAAGTTCCAGGGCAGGAACAGAGACATGCACTTAGAGAGCAAACATAGAGACACCACGGTAGAAGGCATGGGGTGGGATGAATTGGGAGATGGGGAATACCACCTATGCATGATTGATACTATAGATAAAATCAGTAATGAAGGAGAGCCTACTGTTCAGCACAGGGAACTCTACTCAGTGGTCTGTGGTGACCTACAGAGGAAGGAAAGCCAAAAAAGAGGCTATAAATATGTATCTATGACCGATTCACTTTGGTGTACAGCAGAAACACAACATTGTGCAAAGCAACTGTTATCCAATAAAAATTTCATAACAATTTGATATACTTACACAGGCATTTTCATTAAGGCACAAACATCCAATATACCAAAGAGTTGTTTTTTAAAAAATATCAGCTCAGTTCAGTCACTCAGTCATGTCTGACTCTTTGCGACCCCAGGGACTGCAGCACACCAGGCTTCCCTGTCCATCACCAACTCTTGGAGCTTACTCAAACTCATGTCCATCAAGTGGGTGATGCCATCCAACCACCTCATCCTCTGTCATCCCCTTCTCCAAACATACATTAGTGTTAAATTATAAAGAGAATTATACTTCTGTTTATTTTAAATACTAATATTTCTAAAGACTTTTGACTCATAGATATACAATTGATGAATCCAGTTTCATATATTTTCTACTAAGAATGTTCATAGTTACTAGGTGGTTATTTTTATTTCTAAATCTTTCCAATCTTTTGGTCTTTAAATCAAACCAATGGTTTGTTGATGCTTTTTGTATGTGTCAATTGTTTCAGAATTTCTTTAAATGGGATGGCTATTCAAAGTGAGTGCACTTCTAAGGACTTCCTTGATGGTCTACTGGCTAGGACTTGGCCTTCCAATGCAGGGGATGTGGTTCGATCCCTGGTTGGTAAGCAAAGATTCCCACATGCCTCACAGCCAAAAATCCAAAATATAAAACAGAAGAAGTGGTGTAACAAATTCAACGTGTGTATGTGTGTTATCCACTCAGTCATGTTTGATTCTTTGTGACACCATGGATTATAGCCCACCAATAGCCTCTGTCCATTTGATTTCCCAGGTAAGAATACTGGAGTGTTTTGCCATTTCCTTTTCCATGGGATTTTCCTGAGTGGAGG